TCTTGTATTTACAGACCTTTCCACCTCCAGAACCTTGCATTCATGGATGCAGACATTTGGAAATTTTGTAAGATGATTAGACTTTCCGGTTGATTAGGCAGGAAGCTTGTATTTCTTGTTTTGAATCTGTACCTAAGTTGTTGAAGCTGTATTAGGCGTTGGACACCTGGAACAAATTTTCAAACAGTGAAGGAATGAAACATCCTTCTAATGTGTTTTGATCATTTCAGGTGGCTGAGGGAGAACAGTACTTCTACTTATAGTCTCATAATGCCTTACAAACAGAATGATTAAAATGAAAGCCAAAAGGATGACTCTCCAAGCTATATAAAGAGCTGAATTTGAGCTAAAATGAAAGCCAAAACGAAAGTCCAAATAATGGCGGCATCATCTCAAACTGAAGAGCCCTTTTCAAGATTATTCATAAGAATCAAAATTGGACATCTTAGGAAAAAGCCTATGGGTATTGAGCCTTAACTCTAATGGATCTGCTTGTAATCATGATTTGCAACCAAAGTAGTTAATTTTGGTTTGGATATAGGTTTTGGCCTCCTTCAAAACTATTTTTTTAAGAAAAAGAAACTGTAGGAATTTCAAAATTTCAGACAAGATGCAAGGAAAAAAATCTGTTACATAAGAAAAGATTTTATATTCATTCCTATTTTATCTCTTTTTTTTCACATTTTTTCTCTCAATCAATTACTTCCTATTTCTCTCAATCATCTTCTGAGGACAGAAGATGAGCAAATTAGTTACAACGAGAACCGAGAAAGAGAAAACAATGAGAACAAATACAATAGAACATTGAGGCTGAAAAACCCTAGATTTTGAAGAACGAGGAAAAATCAAAATGAATGCAATGAAAGAAAAAGTTAAAACCACATACCTTGGAAGGGAACAGATCCGTCTCCAGAAACCTTACAGGGGTTGCAGTAACAGCGAATCAAAGAGCAGTAGGGTTTTCTACGGGAGGCACAGCTGAAACGAGATGGTCTTCCTCGATTTCTTCCCCGGATTTCTTCCTCGAAGCTCGCCGTTGGATTTCTTCCTCAACGCTCGCCGTTCTTCCCTCGAAGCTCTCCTGACTCGAAGGTCTGTATGCTCGTGACCCTTGGTCGAACAAACAATGTTTTTTACACGTACAAAATATCTGCACGTGAGAGCACTAATCTCCTCGCACGTGTAGATTCCATTTAGCGTAAGGAGAAACCACCCATTTCGTAATTTATATATATATATATTAAAATATAGCGAAATTTTCTTTTTTTTATTTTTTATTTTTTTTTATTCTATCTCATTTTTTAAACAAGCAATGAGATGCACTTTTCCAATAACCTAAATGATCTTTTCTTCTAAAATTTCTCCTAAACTACCTCCCCACTATCCCACACTTTTTTCATAATTATCTCTAATTCCTATTTATCTTCTAAATTATCTCTATTTTCTATTTATCTCAAAAATTATCTCTAATTTAGTAGAGAATTATCTCCTAAATTATCTCTAATTCCTATTTATCCTCTCCCCAACTTTTTTATCTATATCTATCTAAATAAAGTTTGGATTAAAAAATTTAAGAATTATTTAACTATTCTAACAAAATTATATAATGACTTTAAAATATTTATTAAAAACACAAAAAAAATAATTTTATATTTTTACAAAATATATCASGAAATTATGTACTAACAATTTAAATTTTGTTCTTCCGGATTATCAATTTAAATGTCATTCAAATAATAAAAATTAACATTAAAAAATAAAATCTTATTTAAATATTTCAATAAATAAATATCGCAAATAACAAATATTATAAATATATAAATAACTATATAACAAAATACTTAGTAATATGTAATACCTTTAAATAAATAAAATTCAAATAATAAAAATTTTAAATATTTTACATATTATTTAAATATTTAACATAACTAGATTTTAAGTAGTTAAAATAACGAAAATATGTAATAAATTTAAAAAATTCATAAAAATAGAAAAATAATTATAACATAATATTGAAATTAATAATAATTTAATATCTTACAAAATTAACAATAAAATTATGTATTAATAGTATAAATTATAATTTAATGGACTTTTAAATTCAGTAAATAACAAAAAATTTTAAATATTTTACATATTATGTAAATATTTAACATAACTAGATTTTAAATAGTTAAAATAACGAAATTATGTAATAAATTTTAAAAAAATTCTTAAAAGTAGAAAAATAATTATAGCATAATATTGAAGTTAATCATAATTCAATATCTTACAAAATTATGTAATAATAGTATAAATTATAATTTTATGAATTATTAAATTCAATAAATAATTAATATTTTAAAATTTAAATATTTTACATATTACTTAAGTAGTTAAGTAACTAAACATTTTAAATAGCAAAATATTTAACATAACAAGATTTTAAATTGGTTAAAATAAAGAAGTTATGTAATAAATTTAAAAAATATGAAAAGTAGAAAAATAATTATAACATAATGTTGAAATTAATAATATTTTAATATTTTACAAAATTAATAATTAAATAACTTTAATAATAATTTAATATTTTTACATAGTATTGTAAGTAACTAATTTCGCTTATATCAATTAATAATTCGAGAAAATAGCTTTCATAAAAATTACTATTTATTAATAATAATTTTAAACTCTTAATATATATTTATTATATAATTACATATTCTAATATTAATATTTATTGTATTCCAGTAATTATTTATTGTTTTTTGTGATAAATGTATTTTCAGTAATTATGTATACATTTATTTTTGTCTTGTTATTTATCAAAAACTTTCAATAATTATTGGAGATTATATTATTATTGGAATTTTTAAATTTTTTTTATTGTACATATTGTATTTATTGTATTTTTATATAACTTATTGATTAATATTTATTAGAGATTATATTATTTATTGAATAATTTAATATATTTTTAGTACTTATTGTGTATTTTCGCTATAAATTTTCAACAATTATTGGAGATTAAAGTATTATTATTTATCAAAGATGAGACTATTAATTTATCTGAAATTATGAGTGTTCATGAGTTGGTTCGGTTCGGTTGTAGATTGTTTTGCCAACCAAATTGACCTGGTCAGTTGAAACCAATTGACCATTTGTGAAAACCGACCCACTCAAGTTGTATCAATTTTGGTCGATTTTTTGGTTTAGTCAATTGGTTCAAAAGATTTAAACTTAAAAAATAAATTTAAATTTTAAAAATTACAGTTCAATTGTTAAAAATTAAATTTATGATATAAAACATTTTAGACTAAGAAGTATGGGAAATTTCCCACTTTCCTATATTAAAAATTATATTTAAAATATAAAATATTAATATATATCAGTGGTCAAGTCATCCAATTTTGGTCGATTTACAAATGGCCAAAGCGAAACTGATCTAATATGGTCAGGTCAAGTTGATCAGGTTGGTCGGTTTCATCAATTTAATGAATAAACCTAATTGAAATTAATTATTATTATTTTTGTATTATAAAAAATTTATTAAAAGTAGTATATAAAATATGAAGAATTATTAATTATTTAAAATTTTGAAAATATAAAATAGTTGTATACTAACACACATTAGAGTTTTACATATTTACTTTAACCTACCTTATAGTATTCATTTTAATAAAATATCTCATATATTTTACAACTTATTTACTTAATCAACCTTTCATTAAGGAGTGTTTGTTTTGCCATTAGGGCCATGATTTTTTATTCCAAAAATACCCTTATCACTTTTTTGTACAGAAATCAAAATTGACCAAATATAGCCAATAGAGTGGTTGCCCGTGTCTTATTAGGGGCAAAAATGGTATTTTTATTTTTATTTTCTTTTGATAAAATTTATTTAAATGAACATTAGGGTTGACACTGTCATTTTCCACTGTCATCTAATGGAAGATTGATTAAATCCATAGCAAATTATAAGTGGTGTTTTAGTAAAATACAAACTATAGGGTAAATTTTAGTAAATCCATGAAACTATAAGGGGTATTTTAATAAATGACCATTTCTATTATTTATCTTTCGCTTAACAAATCTTGTGCATCGCACAGGTCCCCGCTAGTAAGTATATATATATATAGATTGAAAAAAAAAAATGAAGCCTATGATAACTAACCAAAATGCCTTAAACCACTAGCATAAGGGGAAAAAAAGATTAGCTACCTCTAATAATGAAAAAAATGGGGAAGGCCCATTTTTCATTATAACGAGGCTCGTGGCAATAATTTTATAACAAACATTCTTGTCCATTTTTTCCCAAAATAAGTAAAAGTTGAAAAAAAAAGTGAAGCCTATGACAACTAACCAAAATGCCCTAAACCTCTGGCAGAAAGGGAAAAAAAAGATTTGCTACCTCCGATAAAGGAAAAAAAATGAGAATTGCCAAGCTTTGTTTCAGTCTCATTATATAATGAAAACATGTTTTAATTTAGATTGGTTCATGAGAAATGGATTAGGTCCAATCCAATCTATTCAAATTGGTTTTAATTTAGATTGGTTCTAACCCAAACTTGATTCATTGATACCTGTGTTCTTATTATTTATCAATAGATCAGATATTGGCTCTATTTGACCCAATCTAATATGAATCATTACAGATGGATCAGGTTCGGTACAATCCAATAAATACTTTGGACCATTAAGTCTAAACTGGTCTAATTCAATATGTCTTATTGGTCCATCCAAACCATCTAAATTGATTTTGATTTGTATAGTATCCAATCTAAAACCGGTCCATTGATACCCCTACCGACAAGAAGATCTCAATGCTCCAACTGATTTGCTAATAATGTATTGTCCTACTCAAAGAAAAAAAAAATGCTCTTTTCTGAAGAAGATTAGAGAAAATATATTTAAAAGGATATTTTTGGGCATTTTTGAAAATTTTAAAACCTCACTTAATGTATACACGACCATTTTCTGTCTACTTTCCTAACGATGGACTAAACAAGGAAGTTAATTGCTAAAACTTTGAAAGTTTAGGGGGCAGATGCAATTTGATCCCATAGTTTTGAGACTAAGGTGGCGTTTGATAAATCTGAAAAGTTAAAAAGATATTAAAAGTGTCTGAAATCTGAAAAGAGGCATAGATGCTTTTTCTACTTTTTTAGAGGCTTTGAATCTATAAGTTTGTTTGTGTTGGATCAACCCTTTACCATCTGAAATTTACTTATTTTATTATTTTACCCCTAGAACATACTATTTGTAAATGTTGAGTTCAATTTGCATCATCTCATAAAAAATAATTTTCAACCTCAAAATAACATTGAAACAATACAAATAATAAATAATAAATTAATAGATAATAATTAATAATCAATAATTAATAATTACTAATTAATAAATGAAGCAATTAAAATTAAAAAATTAATGACTATAAAAATATTAAAATATAATAATTAATAATTTACACAAAGAAAAATAAAATAGTTTTTAAAAATTATAGAAATAATTAAAAATTACTATTTAATAAAAATATTTAATAATTAGTAATTTTAATAAAAATAATTATTAAATACTAATAATTAATAAAAAATAACAATAATTAATCTTTAATAAAAATATTAAAATAAGTAATATTTAATAAAAATAATTTATAATTAATAATAATATTATTATTTCTACTCACAGAACCGCCACTGCAATTTGCAACTAGGGGTGTCCACGGTTCAGTTAACCAAACCATGGCACCTTTTTGTAAACCGAACCGATGGTATCGGTTTTTCCAATTCTCCAAACCGAAACCGAACTAGTATCATTGGTTAACCAGTCCACTAGTTTTGGTTTTTGATCGGTTCGGTTCTTCGGTTTTTTGATTTTTTATATTTATATGTTATACAAATATATATATATATAATATTATAAATATTTGAAAAATACATAATATATTTATAAATAGATCATTATAAATATAATATAAGTATATATTTATATATATAATGAATATATATTTATATATAATACATAGAAAATATGACATATTAAAAAAATATATAAAATATACATAAAAATATATATACCGGTCGGTTCGTTTAACCGTCGGTTTTTTTGTAGGTTAACCGAAAACTGAACCGATCCTTTAGTTTTTCAAAAATCT